TATGAATGATTATGTGAAAATCATTTATGCACTTGGATTTACTTTTTGATATCCTTAAAAGCTAGGAATGTTCGTGGAAAAGTCTACTTTTAGAGAGATTTTGTATATTTCATGATAAGAATAACATGCGCGACAATGAAATTTTTGAAAATTTAAGCCTTAAATAGAAGCCCACAACACAAATTAGGCTAAGGACATAGTAGCAGTCCTTGAATTCAAAAAACTATGGATGTATTCAAAGTTGTTGTCTTCTCATTTATTTATTTATTTACTTTCCTTTTGTATGTAACTTAGCCTCTTTTTCTTTTTCTTTTTTAATTGTTTTCTAGTGGTAATCTGCTTTGCAAGTTGTCAAAAAGGTAAACCTACTTGGATTTTTCAGAGGAATGACACATTGACTTCCTGAGAATTTAGTTTTACCATAAAATGAACATACATGAACCTTTTATCTCAAGTTGGTGATAAGTATCTTATTCAAAAGTAGTACTATAACTGTTTCTAGAAACATAATTTAACACTTCAAATACTTTCTACCCACAATTGTGCCCTCCATTTACCATCACATGTTTGTGTTTGCTTTTTGATTATTTGTATCGATTGTCAATGTAAAGAGTGTTTTTTTTAGTTGTGTCCACATATTATATGCATAGCAGAGCCAAAGGCGACATTAATTTTCATGATGATGATCACATCATAATGAAAATTTTATGTTAGGTATGAATTTTGGATTTATCAAGGAAAGGGAAATATTGAAACAAATAAATATTTTTGACTTTATTTTATTCTTTTCCTTTTCTTTTCCTTTGTTGGCCTCCACATATAATCAATGATCCGAACATAAACTTAAAGTTTTCGTATTTGTATTTGCATATCCTGCATTAAACTGTTTTAGGAAGTAAACTTGTTTTTGCCTGAGAAGATGGTTATACTTGTATATTCACATATTCTTGAATATACAAGTTATAAAATTCTTAAGTTCTATTTACAATAAAGTACCCAAAACAGTGTGTCAAATCTGTTACCAAAAAAGAAAACACCAGATTAAGAAGGGCCTACCATTATTTTATTTTATAGTAGGTAGAAGGGCCTACTGGTAATATACATATAATTTACAAATATGTGTTTTGTGTCCAGATGCATCACCATATTTCTTGCAAAATAGTTTTCTTTCTTCATGTGTTAGTTCAGCATTGGTTCACTGTTAAGTTATTAAGATTAGGACTCTAAACCAACCGAGTTGACCTAATAGTTGACTTGAGAACCTAACGAATTTTAAAATGTATTTAATTTAATAAGTTGGTCACAACCCATTGTGATATTCAGTTATAACCCAACGTGGTGTTCATCACGATTCATTATAGTGACTTTCTTTTTAATAAAAATGGTATTTGGAGGATTTTGACCATTGTGATATTTATTTTTTCATGCACATTCACAATTATTGACCAGTACCACATGTTGTTAATTCTTTGAAGGATCTCATCATGCTTCATCCTTAGACAACATAACTCCTCCTGCAAGAGTTTTGCTGAGGTTCTTGATTTGGCATTTGAAAAACAAGACAAAAGAGAATTAGGAGATGAAGAAAATAATAATGCTGCACTATGAGAAGGAAACTCATAAGTTTGCCATAATTCACAAGGAAATTCACTGTGCTCCCTTAAAATTTTAATTCATATAAAATTGTCTCATTTTTCATCTCTTTTACACTAAATATAAAATTTAGCATTGATAATCGATGTGTCTATACAGTATCTATCAGCTCCGATTTCTTTAGCCTTAATAAAAAGGATGTGAAAATATGAATTGAATCGGTTTAGGTTTTTGATGTTTGTTTTGCTTTGGTAGTTGTTTTGATTTCATATATATATATATACACTTGAAATTTGGCTTGAGTGTGTGAAACCTGATTTGTGGGTAATTGAATTTTGTACTCATGTAACTGATATGAGACTGTAATTTTTTATTTGTTTATTGAAATCTGTTATGTTTCTAACAATTACTCTTGTGCTGGCTTGTTTTTCCTATTAGAAAGAAAATTACAGTGGTTTGGGATGTATTACCTTTAGCAATTGTTTGGGAATTGTGGAAAGTGAGAAACAAATGGATATTTTGATGTTACTGTGACTTAGTTGAATATCCATTTAGTTATTTTTGTTTTTTTTTTCATCAAAAGTGTTAAAAAATTATCTCTAATTATTTCATTAAATCTCATGAAGGGAGAGTTATTTTTTTTAGCAAATTGAGAACCAATAAAGTAAATCAAAATTTGATGGGAAAAAAAAAAAGAAGAAGCATTGGAGATGGGTCTGATCAAATTTGATGAAAAGGGGAATTTTGGATAAGATGAAGGCTTTTAAAAAGATTTTAATGAAAGGATTTGAGTAGTTCATATAAAATCAAGTTTTTTTTACTCAAATTTGAAATCAAATTAGTTGAAAAAATTGGTGAAAGGTTGGAGATGCTCTAAAATGGTTTATGAGTTACCTTAGAGACGATGAAATGCCAAAATTTGATAGGACTAAGGCCTAAATTAGAAAATCTACTAGGTATTAACAATAGAATAAAAGTTATGAAATGATGAGATTTTTAATAGTGTATGAGGACACCAATGTTTTACAACTATTTTTGGGATTATATGTTTGATGAGCAAATTATTTGTGCAAAGTTCATAGAAATTTAATTTAGCTACCAAGTTGTTATGATTTGAACTGCTAATTGACCATGCAAAGAAGTAAAAATAGGGATATCTATAACTAGTGGTGTGATTTGTAGAACGTGTGTATCTTAATGTGTTGAAATAAACTAGCAAGACGGATAGTTAAAAAGTAAATTTGTGATGATCGGTATAGGTTGCTTGCATTAGGCTAGGTAGAGAAGCATGCATTGTAGGCACAAGATCAGTCTAAGTGTGATGCTTGTCTTTTATATGAGCCTTGCTTCTTGGGCTCGAGCCTTTGTTTTTTTAAGCTGCAAGGTTTTGTTGTAAGCTGCTTTCCTTGATCTTTGAAGTGAGTCTTAATCCATAAGCCTCAACAGCCTTTTAAATTGATTGTGACATTGTTTGAAAATACAAAAATATGTATTAACAGTGAACATGGAGGTAATGCATCTTTTGCTGATATGGCTAGCGAGGTAGGCAATAGAAAGCGCGCTTGCCTAGTAACATCATAATCATATGAACATTTTTTTTATGGGATCATCCACTTCTTTGTTCCACCATTTAGTGTTGTAAAAAAATGGCATGAATTTAAAATTGTCTAATTTCGTCTATTTTCGTTTCTATTCACAATTCCTATTCAAATTCAAGATTCAAGCATAACCTATCAATACTTATCGTTTAATTGACTCGCATTACATGGTGTACTAAACTATTAAATTTTGTCATTTTTCCCTTGTTTTTCCTTTTTGCCCATAAATGCAAGATTCAAATACAATCTAAAGGTATTTTTGTTTAATTGACTCACATGGCATGGGGTACCAAAATCTGTTAAATATTTTTCGTATATAGATTCTTTCTTTTCTCGCCATAATCATTACTTTCCTTAACTATTGTCTTCTTTACTAACTCAATTTCGATGTTCTGTTTTTGTTTGTCATAGGTCCTCAATTTCTCCATCTTAACGTCCAAGTAAACTTATACCTCCTCCATCCCTTCCTCCGTAGCGGTTGCATTAGCAGGTCTGCTTTTTAATTTATTTGCTTTTAATTAATAGCAGGGCACTGGCGGGTGTGCTATTTTATTTATTTGCTTTTAATGAATAGCAGGGCACTGGCAAGTGTGCTATTTTATTTATTTGTTTCATTTTAATTGATAGTAGGGTACTTGCTTCTGTGTTTTTGAATTTATAGCATGGCACTGGCTAGTGTGCTTATTTACTTGTTTGTTTTTAATGAATAGCAGGGCACTGGCAGGTGTGCTATTATATTTATTTGTTTCATTTTAATTGATTGTAGGGTACTTGCTTCTGTGTTTTTGAATTTATAGCATGGCACTGGCTAGTGTGCTTATTTACTTGTTTGTTTTTAATGAATAGCAGGGCACTGGCAGGTGTGCTATTATATTTATTTGTTTCATTTTAATTGATTGTAGGGTACTTGCTTCTGTGTTTTTGAATTTATAGCATGGCACTGGCTAGTGGTGCTTATTTATTTGTTTTTTTTAATGAATAGCAGGGCACTGGCAAGTGTGCTATTTTATTTATTTGTTTCATTTTAATTGATAGTAGGGTACTTGCTTCTGTGTTTTTGAATTTATAGCAGGGCATTGGCTGGTGTGCTTATTTATTTCTTTGATTTTAATGAATAGCAGGGCACTGGCGGATGTGCTATTTTATTTATTTGTTTCATTTTAATTAATAGTAGGGTAATTGCTTTGTGTTTTTTAATTTATTTGTTTTGAATTGATAGCAGGCCACTGGCAGGTGTGCTTATTTATTTATTTGATTTTAACGAATAGCAGGGCACTGGCGGGTGTGCTATTTTATTTATTTGTTTGATTTTAATTTATAACAGAACACTGGCAGGTGTGTTTTTAATTAATTAATTTTATTTTAATTAATAGTAGGGTACCTACAGGTGCTTTTTAATTATTGGCATATAATTGATAGCATAGCACGGGCTGGGGTGCTTATTTGTTCATTTTCTATAAAGAAGTAATAATTAATAGCACAATATTGGCGGGTGTGCTTTTTTTGGTTTTTTGTTTGGTTTTAGTTGATAGTAGGGTGCTTGTAGACATGTTCGAATTTTTTTTTTTTTAAATTGATTGCAAGGCACTGGCAGGGTGTGCTTTTTTTGGTTTTTTGTTTGGTTTTAGTTGATAGTAGGGTGCTTGTAGACATGTTCAAATTTTTTTTTTAATTGATTGCAAGGCACTGGCAGGTTTGCTAATTTATTTGTTCTGAAGATGTAAATTATAGCAGCGCAATGGCATGTTTGTTTTCTAGTTGATTTGTTTCGTTTTAATTGCTAATAGAGTACTTACAAGTGTATACACGATGGATGAACCTGAAAGTAGTAGGCCTGAAGAGGTCAATACTGAAATTGATGATCAATTTGCTCCAGATGGCAAGGATAATGTTGTTGATGTGAAAGAAGGGTTAGCTTCCCAAACCTATGATAGTTTACGAATGCTTACTAAGGAAGATGTGTTGCAAATGAAATTCAATTCAGAGGATGATGCTTATACTTTCTACAATGCATACGCTAAGGTCATCGGTTTTAGCGTACGAAGAAGTAGAAAAAGAATTACTGGAGACAACAAATTTGTAGAGAGTATGAAATGGGTTTGTTCAAGGGAAGGTGTAAGAGAAAAGAAATACTTGCAACGTGTGGAACGGGTAAGAACTCCTAGTGCAGAAACTAGACTTTTTTGTAATGCCACATTTCGTGTGCGTTATGACAAGACAGCTAGGAAATATGTTGTGACCCACTTTGTAGGGGAACACAACCATCCGTTGGCAGCACCACACTGCGTCCCTTTTCTTTGGTCTCATAGGTTTGTAACAAGTGCAGACCAAGGTCAAGCAAAGGCCATGCGCAATGTGGGTATGAAAATGAGTCAGATCATGGATTTTATGGTCCATCAGTCAGGGGGTTATAAGAAGGTGGGCTTCATTCACAGAGATTTGCACAATCAATTCCAAGCTGAGGGTGTGTTAGGATACTTGTCAGCTAAATTAGATGCAGATCCATTATTTTTTTTCAAATACAACGTCGATAAGGACAACCGGTTGGACAAGATTTTCTGGGCAGATTGTAGGTCTCGAATGGATTATGCTGCATTTGGTGATGTATTGGTATTTGATACAACTTATCGTACAAATGCATATAAGAAGCCATTTGTAATTCTAGCTGGCGCGAGTAACCATTTCATGACAACTATATTTGGATGTGCTTTGTTGCCTGATGAGACAATGGAGACATACACGTGGGTGCTGGAAATGTTAATGGAGGCCATGGATGGTAAAAGGCCCATCTCCGTTGTAACAGATGGTGATAGGGCAATGCGTCAGGCAATCAAAAGAGTTATTCCAAACTGCAGACATCGTTTATGTTCTTGGCATCTAGAGAAAAATGCCTCAACAAATGTCCACATACCAGAATTTACAGCTGATTTTGCACAGTTGATGTTAAAGAAATGTAAAATTGATGAGTTTGACAATGCCTGGGCTGCTATGGTGAAACAGTACAAGTTGGAGAACAATAACTGGGTGTTGGATATTCATCTGAAGCGTGATAATTGGGCTGAGGCATATCTCTATGGTCACATGTTTGCTGGAATGAGGAGCACTCAACGTGTAGAGGGTATGAATGCAAATTTCAATATATTCCTAAACCAAAAGGTTAGGTTGTATGAATTTGTAGCGCAGTATGATAGAGCTCTTGCTAGAATGCGTGTTAATGAGGCAGAAACAGAATCTAAAACAGAGAATAGTTTCCCGGTTTTGACTACGCCATTGAGGAGTTTGGAGAAACATGCAGCTGAACTCTTTACTCGGAAGATTTTCTCATTGTTTCAACATGAAATCAGGAAAGAGGGTAAATTGTTTGTGATGGAAAGAGTTCAGCTTGAGGATCATCGCACCTACCGTTTTGGTGAGTACAAGGCACCAACATGCACGTGGACGGTTGAGTATTTTCCAGCTAATATCACAATGAAATGTTGTTGCTTGAAGTTTGAGTCGTTTGGCATCCCTTGCTGCCACATGATTGCTGTTATGAAATCTGAACAATTAATGTGTATTCCACCGAGTTGTGTCTTGCAGAGATGGACAAGACGTGGTAGGTCAAAGTGTCAACAACCAAGTCTTACCCAAATTTGTAGCACCCTAACACAGACAGCTCGGTTTGGTATACTCAGCTCCTGTTTTAGTGAAATGTCATATTATGCCTCACACGCGGACAAAGATTTTGAAGAGGCAAGGGAAATAGCTTTCCAGCTGACATCGCAGATGAAAAAACGTTGGGCAATGAGAAAAGAAGGTAACGCCGAGGCTGGGGACAAAAATATTGCACCCAAACTATATGGCGTTGGTGATCCGAATGTAGTGAAGACCAAAGGGAACCCCGGAGGGACATCTTCTATGGGTAAACCTCCAAAACCAAGGCGGTGTGGGTATTGTAGGTATGGTACTTTCATTGTATGACCTTTTAATATCCTGTTACATGCATATGATTATTAAAATCGTTTATGCATTATTTGCTACTGTAGGAGCATCGGACACACGAAGCGGACGTGTAAAAAATTGGCTTCAAGTAGCCACAGAGAGGGTAGCAACTCAGACAGTGAACCATTCATGAACACAGAGTTGGATCCCCACACGGATGATATCGATGAATTGCCAATTTATCCAAATGATCCAGTGTAGTTGACTTTCATGATGAGGCCTATAGTGATCGAAACATTGTTTTTACAAGGAGACATTAGTGGCTAGTAGTTATGTTTTGTTAATGTCTTAGTTGTTTTAATCTTAGGCATTCTTAATAAATTTCGTAGTTTGGAGAATAATTTTAAAAATAAAGGTGAAAAAATTCCAAATTTGTTTGATTGCTGATAAAATAGGGACTTGCTCATGCCATTACTTTACAAACAATCGCTGTTAATAATATCGAACTGTCTCTATTTTTCTTTTGTAGATTTTTTTAATTGTCTGTTTGCTTGGTAAGAAATGGTGGACATTGATGACTGAAATCAATAAGGTTTTAATATATTTGCATTTGTCATTGTATGATTAAAATTTGAATCTCTCCAATGACGTACATATGTTTTAATATGTTTGGATATTACGTAGGTAATTGAAGATGCCACGGAAAAAGACAACAAAAAAACCGAGTAAAGGAAAAGCGGAAGCTCCTCACGTTGACCTTGGTATTTTTGCTAAACGGGCTATTACGGTAGAGCGGGCTGTCAAGTTGAAGGAGTTAACTCATACTGATATTCCAGCAATTGTGGGCCACCTGCATATCCAAAACCTAATCGAACGGGAAGGGAAGGCTAATGTCAACCTGGTACGGGAATTCTTTGGTAGCATACAAAAGCCAACTGATACAGAGAACTTGATTCTGAAAACAAAACTGAGGGGGAAAGATGTGGTGTTTTCTGCGGATTGCATATCAAAATTCTTAGACATTCAGCGACCAACACATGATGACAAAACACAATATCCATACCTTCCTGGTGTTGACCTTCCTAATGAAGCCCAAATTGTTGATGATTTGTACATTGAAGGAGTCATACCACAAGACAAGTATCATGTAAAGTTCCTGAAGCCTGACCTTGCCGTTCTTCATCTTATCTTGTGGTACAATCTTGACCCAAGGGGGGTGAAATCCACTTTTGACCATGAACGAGCACTCATGTTGTATGCTGTCCATAATTTCAGCCCTCTAGATGTTCCGAAGATAATTTGGCAAGTTGTGGATTCTGTCGCAAAAGCTAACAATCCACATGCAACATTACCATTCGACCTCCTCGTGACTGATATGCTACTTGAGCTTTGTGTACCGACTCGACCAGATGATGAATGGAAGGGGCAGATGAGCCACATAGGTCGTGGAACGTATGGGAAAACACAAGGGCAAAGTCGAAAGCACCGTGAAAGACAAGATCCTACTTCATTGGAGAGCATATCAACTCGTTTGTACGAGGCTGTGTCCATATTGAACCGGATGGAGTTGCAGCACAAGAAAGACATGAGGAAGGTCAAGTTAGAGCTAAAAAAAATGCGGAAAGCCTTTTGTGGTGAAGATTTTGAGAATTCAACTAGTTCTAATGATAGTGAGCAGGAATCTAATGGGTCCAACCATGATGACAGCCAACAAATGGACACAGACAATGATGGTTGAACAAAGTTTGCAAGGCCAATGATTTAGCTGACACTGTTACTTTTTTTTGCATACAGTGTTACTTTTTTGTGCAGAAAGTGTCAACTTTTTTTTACAAACAATGTTACTTTTTGTGCAACCAGTGGTGGTACTTTGATCATCCCATACTTTTGCGAACAGTGTTACTTTTTGTCCCATACTTTTGCGAACAGTGTTACTTTTTGTCCCATACTTTTGCGAACAGTGTTACTTTTTGTCCCATACTTTTGCGAACAGTGTTACTTTTTGTCCCATACTTTTGCGAACAGTGTTACTTTTTGTCCCATACTTTT